AACTCATATTCAAACTTGGCAAAGCTAATGTTTAAAGCCTGACGAAACTCATGTTTAAACTTGATGAAATTAATGTTTAAAACTTGACGAAACTTATGTTTAAACTTGGCAAAGCTGTTGTTTAAAACTTGACGAAACTCATGTTGAAACTTGATGAAATTAATGTTTGAAACTTAATGAAACTTACATTCAAACTTGGCAGAACTAATGCTTAAAACTTGAGGAAATTAATATTAAAACTTGACAAAACAAATAATAAAATTTGTCAAAACATTAATACTTATCGTAAGAAATATTAAGACTTGACAAACACAGGTAGCAGCACCTACTTATTTTCTTATTTATTATGCAGTTAAGCATCCTGTTCTTTTACCTTATTTCAACAGCAACCCCTATTTACAACCCACTTTTAAATATGAATATTTGTACTCTTATCTCGAATACATAATTTGTTGGCAACATGAGTTTCATGGAAAGATCTTATGAAAAATTTATGCAGTAATTTTCATCATATTTTAAGCTTTAATTTTATATAGCATTACTGTCAGTTTGCGATTGTTTTATGTCCTGAAATCTTGTTGCATTTACGTTTCGAAATTTGACAGTTGATACCTTACAAATTGTAGCTTCCTTATTTATTTTCCTTGTATCAAGATTAAGGAATGTTTCATAAATCTAGTTAGCTTCTGTGAATCTCAACCTTTAATTTGATGTATCTTATCCTCCATTTTGTGACACTTGTCTCATGAAATCGATTTAGACTTCGAAGCTCTCGTAATGTACCATTTGATGTCTTGCAAGTTCACAATTTCGTTTATCTTTATATTTCTCTTTTTATATTAAGAATGTCGGTGGAATTTTTATGCAGTTATTTTCAGTAAGTTTTGATTTTAATTTGATATGCTACAAGCGCCATTTTGTAATACTTTTATGTCATGAAATTAGGTTAGACTTTCAATCTTTCATTTAACACTTGACGTGTTACAACTTCATAACTTTACTTATCTTAAAAATAATTTCTATTACATTAAGAATATCAGAAGGAACCTTATACAGTTATTTTCAGTAAATTTTTACTTTTAATTTGATATACCACAAGCGTCATTTTGTAACGCTTTTGTGTCACGAAATCATGTTAGACTTTCAATTTTTCATTTACCACTTGATGTGTTACAACTTCATAACTTTACTTATCTTAAAAATAATTTGTATTACATTAAGAATATCAGAAGGAACCTTATACAGTTATTTTCAGTAAATTTTTACTTTTAATTTGATATACCACAAGTGCCATTTTGTAACGCGTTTATGTCATGAAATGAAGTTCGACTTTCAAGTTTTCATTTACCATTCCATATGTTGTAAAGCAGTAGCTTTTACTTTCTTTACTGTCCTCATATCAACAATATAAACTAAAGCTTCCCGCTAAAATATTATCTATTAAACTGGTATACCATAAATACAATTCTAACAACGCTTCTATGTCACGAAATTGCATCAAACTTTTTACATACCGAAATCGAGCATTTGATATATCTACAACAATTTAGATTTCCCGATACAATTTAAATTTAAACTACTTTATTCCTCTGGTTGGGATTTACTTTTTTTTACTTCAATTTTTTTTGTTATTTACTTTTTCTGCTGCCACGCAAAATGGAGTTGATTGCAATTGTACTCGAATTACAAATGGCAAGCTTTTATTCGAACCGTGACGGGTAACATTTCTGTTGCGCGATATAAATGGACGTATAAATGTTTGTAATCATGATTTTAATGTACTCGCAAAATGTTTCTTTCCGTAATAAAAGCTTGTTGACGTCTGCTCTACAAGTATAATACGAATAACTCGTCGAAATTATGAGGATAATTTGCTATCAATTTGTATAAAGTGTATCTCTAATATTTTTTTTATTTTTTTACATTTTACCCAAACAATTTATTTCTCTACGGTGAATTTATATGCAACGTTAAATAAAACCAAGAGAAAACATTATATCGAAAAACTGCACCGTGATAACACAATTATTACCGCGATACTCTTGCGAAATATTTTTTATTTTCGACGATGAAAAATAATAAAACCCTGCCCGATAGTAGATATTCGTTTCAAATAAAATGACATTCACTGGAATAACTTCAAAGGAATAGCTTTATATTTAAATATTCGCTGAATTATACAAACGAGAGAGGCGTTCCTGTTTACACATAATTATTTGAAGTATCATACTACATCAGTAAACATCAGGTTTTTCCTAATTAACGATGACGCCAACAAAGTATACGCGACACATATGACGTACATTAAATGTAAATCAATATAATCAAAGACACGTTCGAACGATTTCCGCGTCAACCACGGTCGTAATTTAATTTTTAACCTCGTTGATTTCGCGCAAAAGAAAAGAACGTAACGCGGTATCGATGTGGCTTATTAAAAATATAAAGTTTATCAGTACGCGTGTACTCGTATGTGCATAAATATTTATGATACGGTAAGATCGATAAAATGGGACGCGGTATTGGTAGCCCGATAACTTCAACCCAATATAATGCAACTCAATTTATGTGGCTACGAAGATGGACGTGGATATCGACTTTATCGAATTTTCTTGTTACAAGCTTGATTAAGAAAACGACCGGTAAAGAGAGAGAACTTCAAATAAAAGTTAAATTACGAACATTTCTGAGCAAATACGTTGTTTCACATTAGGAAACCTACTGCTTTTCATATTCTAATTTAATTCTAATATACAAGGTGTTACCTGTAACTCACGATTTTTCACTTGTAGCCACCTTACGAAAAAAAGTTTAGAACAATATTTGCAGGGTATGAAGTGCACGATAGATATTAGTAAAGCAAATTTTGAAAACAGTTTGTTCTGTTGGCAAAGTCAAGGTCACCTCGGGTTTTTTAAATAGGTACATACATTTTTTTTATTCGTAGCTTTAGAGGACATCGAGACGAATTCAAAACGCATGTTACGTGATATTTTTATTAACATATTACTCGATTTACAGAAAAGAAAATGTGAAGTACTTAGCTTTTGACTTTGATAGTGTAACCATTATTTGATTCCGAAGAGATTACTGAATGTAAACACGCGACTAGAATGTAAGAAAAATACACTTTATTTAATTACATGTTCAAAATGTATGCTGCCTTCCATCGCGTAATATTCTGGTCTTTTACTTCACATTTCCACTTCTGTAAATCGAGTAATATGTTAATAAAAATATCAGGTAACACGTGTTTTGAATTCTTCTCGATGTCTTCTAAAGCTACGAATAAAGAAAATGTTCCTATTTAAAAAACCCAAGTGACCTTGACTTTGCCAAGAGAACAAACTGTTTTCAAAATGTGCTTTACTAATATTTATTGTGCACTTCATACCCTGCAAATATTGTTCTAAACTTTTTTTCGTAAGATGGCTGCAAATGGAAAAATCGTGTGTAGCGTTACAAGTAACTGTATAATACTATATGTAATTAATAAACAATTTTCATACTTCTGTATTTTCGATTCGGTTATTTTGAAATTTGCCTTTTGATTAGAATCGATATATCGAGAGGTTAAAAGACACAAAGGTACAACGAAAAGTACAATCTGGTTCTAAAAGCCGTACTTGATGGTTATGAATGAAGCACAGGTCAACGCGCATGAAACGACAGATTTATATTTCATGCATACCTTATTTATCGACTTTATTATCGCTCAACTTTTTTCACGAATTAATTTGATTAAAATGAAAATTCTTCACGCTTTGTTCTCCGTTAATAGAGACGAAATTCATTTCGTTAAAATTAAATTTTAGTCGAGACAAATGACATGGAGAAAATAATAACCAACGTTTATAATTGAAGAATTGTAATATAATAATCAAATTCTCACCTGTTGTTTAATTATAGCGCATAATCCGGTATTTCGTAATGAATATTTGAATAATTTTTCTTCTTATGTATAATTGAGAAACAATTTAAACAAATTGGATGAATGTGATTTTATCAGATCCACCAGATCGTGTAAATTTTAATTGTAGAACAATTTTTATTTTGAATAAACGTGCAACAGTTACTGAATAATTTATGATGTAACGTTATGTTAATGAAAATTACGAAGAGCATATTAATATTCCCTGAGGTAAAATATATTATGGCGAATTCAAACTAGAAAGCGCGCTCGATACGCGATATATCGAACCAGTTGCGTTCGATCTATTACGAGTCGTGATCATTTATTATAACCTTAAATGTAAAATTAAAAGAGGGACAAATCATAATATTGAAGCCATATCTATCGGAATTATTAACATTTTTAAATAATTTAAATAAAAACAAAGTATTAAAAATTTATAAATAATTAAATATATTAATTTTTCAACATTACGTGTCATACAATATAAAATACCGCGAATTCAAAATGGAAACTGTTCGATACATGATATATCGAAATCAATCGCGTTCGATCTATTACGAGTCAATTAATATAATCTGAAGTATAAAATTAAAGAAAAAAAAACAAGTCACCATTTGCAATTCAGTAACGTTAAAAATTATTATAATTTTTCAATTACTCAAACAATATAAATTAATAATTAATAAATAATAAACTATATTAAATTACAATATTTTTATAAAAGTTTGAAATCGATTCACTAATCGTCAATTATGTTTTTAATCATAAATTAATCAAAATTAAAAACGAGAATCAAACTGTAATATAATATTCGAAAACATTCATAATCATTAATTAAATTAAATAGAAATATCTATTAAAAATTTGTATACAATATGTTAAATTACATAATATGTAAACATTTTGTCTAATACAGTGTAAATGTAGTACCTACATTTGAATCGTGAGGATCGAGAAAGAACCAGTGAGCGTAGCGCGCGTAACTTAAGTTTCGCTCAAGTGAAAATCACTAGATGAATGCGCGCATTTGTATTCGAAAACACATGTACCCACCTTACTACTAGTGATTCTGTGTTTGACAATACGCGCGTATTTCGCGGCTATCATCGAATTTAGCCGACGTTAACCGATGTTAAACGAAGCCTGTAAGTTTCCGTGTGTGTTAAGTGTTCGTTGGTGTTCAGTTGGTGCGCCTCGACTGGGCAAAATCGCGTAAAATGGAAACAGAATTTCGTTGTGAGGTTGAGGTTGGCCGTTGAAATAAGTGAACATGGGAAGGTCCAAGTTTCCCGGGAAGCCGCCGAAGACGGTCACCAGGAAACGGATCAAAGTTCTCGGCCAGCCCGAGACAGCCCAAAGCGATTCGGTAACCGTCGCCGAGAACATCTATTACGGACTTTCCCTGTTCAACGAAACATTTGGTGACAACGAGAAGGTAATTCGTAGTTTACTATCGTAAGGAATGTCTAGCAGAAGGCGCCTAATTGGAGTTCTACTGTAAATAACTATTCCTTGACTTGTAAATAAATGTATTTACTGTGCAAGCGTCATAGGGACGCATACGGCACCGATCCAATGACCAGAAAAACTCAGATATTTGGCTGTATAATGAAAGTTAACCTATTAAAAAGGAATCGCTTACTCGGAATGGCAGATGTGTATATTATGTACTGACATACCACTATACCTAAAAATGTCAATGATTCAGTAAAAGAAGCTCTTCTGATTTTATTTTGTATTTTATTAATACATTCTATTGAAATTTTTTTCTTGTGTTTAATAGAATGTACAAAACTTTCATGCATATTCTATTGTAGTAAAGTTTATAACTATTAAATGTCTTTCGCTGTACTTTCATTATTTTTTGGTGTAAAAGGTACATCGTAATGGCATATAGAATGTGGAAATAGCAGTATTTATGTAATCGTTAGATGTTTTAATGTTTATTACGATTGTTTATTGTTATAGGAACATCCACCATTCCATGGTTTTAGCACTAAAGAGGCTAAGCTTTCCGTGTCTTACATAAAAACGCAACAACATGACACAGAAAACACATCCGTCAAACCGCCACCTGATGCCGTTGATAATCCTGCACCGCAGTCCAATGAACAAAATGTCACTGATATTAAAAACTCTTCTTCGAATGCTGAGAATAACGTAGAGAAATTATGTGATAAAAGTGTGAAAGCAACAGAAGATATTAAGAAAGATGTGACTATATTAAATTCCAAACGTGCTACTAAATTTCATAGACCTAAAAGCCGTAAAAGTTGTAAAAATATTAAATTCTCCAATTTCATGAAAACACCAGTATTAAAATCAGTGAATAATATCTTAGATCAACATCAACGAACAAGGCAACTACGTAATAGTACTGCAAAGAGATTATTACAAAGGGCAAAATCTAATAGTAACAATGCACGTAATATGACAGCACAGTGCGGTGATAAACCGAACGCTGTAAGAAAATTTATTTTACCAGTTCGAAGTGCCCATTCGTCGAGAGTAATTAAACCTAATAAAAGATTTATTGAAGAATTGGAAGAAATTTCTGGAGCGGAGCACAGTGAAAATGAAGTTGGTACTCACGTGAAGAAAGCTAAATTTGCATTAAATAAACTTTGTAATCAAGAAACAAAATTAAAAGAAGAAAATATTAGTAAATTATGTACAAAATTAAAAGATAAAGAACTGAGAAATAAGGCCAGGAAGGTGATTCAGCGAGTGAATTCCAATGCCCAAACTGTAGTACAGTCTGTAAAGAATTTTGAAAAGCCAGCACCTTCTATACAAGACGCACAAGTATCAAAAATTATTAATACTGATGTAAAAAGAAGTAATTTATCGAATAAGAACAAAGTTGTAAAGAATCCATCTGATGATAAAGAATCTAATAATGTCCAAGATAATTCACAAAACACAATCAGGAAAGCTCAAAATACAAAATTAACCGCGTCCAAAAACCAGAAGTCGCTTTCTGTTCCTACAAAAGTTCTTCCTGATTCCGATGTTCCAAGTTCAGAGTCTTCCAGGATTCAAACAAGGTCAGGAACGCAGAGTGAAGCTGTTGATTTAGAAGTTCAGACAAATCCTGCAGATGTAGTGAAGACAAAAGAAAATGTTAATGCAAAAATTCAAGGCAATTCTGATAACAGGAATAAAACTACAGAGGGAAATTCAGATAACTTTGATACAGAAAGTACACTGTCCGAGAGTGGAAGCGAGCATAGCAATCACACAGAAGATGAGCAGTCAGAATGGACTGGGATGAAGTTAAATGGTGGAAAAGTTATTTTAAGGAAAGCAAGGTTAAAGTTAGATAACAAATGTGTAGGTGGAACCGAAGGACCTTTTTCAACAACAAATAACAATAGTGTTACAACTGGAAATACTAATTTAGGTATGCAATTAATATTTATAATTTAATGATACAATAGTTAAAATTTATTTTATTGTTATAACATTTCAGGATTAACAGGTACTATTAAATGTGGAGTTTGTGGTGCTGTGCGATTTTATCGATTCGTAAAACAAGCTCGAAAATTTGGTATTCACAGTTGTGAATCGTGTAGAAAGTTTATCAGTAAAATGATCAAACGACAAGCTTGTGCAAAATCTACAAATAGTACTCTACCAATCCTTCAATGCCATAAAGGAGATGGTTTATGTTTAGTACCACCTGTTGTGAGAAGTCAGCAATGGAATCTCATGAGATGCGTTTATAAAGCCAGATGTCCAGCATGTTGGTTGAAAATGTGTTTGAAATGTTATAACATTCCTTCTTCATTAAGAACTGGCTTGAATGCATTATTACCACCAATGATGAGAGATCCTTTAAGTGTTCCATTATCATTGAATCAAGAAGATACTGACAGTCCAGGTCAAAAATTAATATCTTATAAGTTAGGCTGGCCCGCAGAAGATAGTTCAGAAAAGAACTTATTTAAATCAGCTATGAGTTGGAGAAATATAGAAATGGGCCAAAAAACTAGTTATCAAGGCACTGGTGGTTTTATGTATACAAAATTAGATAAATGTAAGTTTCTGTTGCATTTTTTTTTCTCTTTTTTTCTATTTTTTTTTTTTTATAATTTATTTTATATGAATTACAGTTAATCCGATTACAAATTTTATAGTTGATTCGACGCTGAATATATCGCCTAGTAAAAAAAGAAGAAAAAACAATAGGATAAAAGTGAGGAAGAAATTAAAAAATCCTATGTTCTCCTCGCCATCTTTAAATCAATGCCCGCAACCCCTGAGACAGAGACTTGAATTAAAAGGACCAAGAGTTAAACATGTTTGCCGAAGTGCAAGCGTTGCTCTTGGTCAACCGATTGCTACTTTTCCCTCTGTTGATGGGAAAGAAGATACTGAAAGCAATAAGCACATTCCGAAAACACTAAAGGAAAATGATAGGCTAGAGAAAAAAAGTGATACAAAGGAAAAGGAGCAGCAAAAACATAACGATGACAACACTACAAATACAGTACAACAACCTCATCCAAAAAGAGGGAAAACGCAACAAAATATGTCAGCATCAAATCTTCAAATGGTATGTAAACTTTTGAAATAAAATGTGTTACAATAAAATCATTTCTCAGATAATTTATATTAATGTTTTCAATTTGACTGATATTTGTAGTAATAGTAAATAAATTGTTACAGGTACCTAAAACAAATAATGACACATTACATGCAGTATCTATAGATTTTTGGGAACAGTATGATCCCGCAGAAGTTGGTGCAAAAGGTTTTGCCCTTATTGGTTCAGAACTCTTCCATATTTCTGCTATTTGTTATCTCTGTGGAAGCGCTGGAAAAGAACCAGTAAGTATTACATATATGTACATTATTATATACAGTTGTACATTGTAACAATCTTTCCAGCTCATCCATTGTCAATGCTGTTGTGAGCCATATCATGCCTTTTGTTTGGAACCCAGTGAATGGAATGCTTGTGCCCAACCAAATTGGTGCTGTCCTCGATGTACAATATGCCAATCCTGCCATCTAAGATCTGGTCCAAAATTGTCTTGCATTCGTTGTCGTCAATCATTTCATCACTCGTGTTTGTCAAAATCTGGTGTCAGTGCGAGACTTTACAGTCCTGAAAGACCTTATGTGTGTCAAAGTTGTGTCAAATGTAAAAGCTGTGGTAGCGAAGGAGTTAATGTTCATGTGGGCAACTTACCGTTATGCTCCATGTGTTTTAAATTACGTCAACAAGGAAATTATTGTCCTCTATGTCAAAGATGTTACAACGAAAATGATTTTGATACGAAGGTAGGTATACTTTCATGTCATAAAATATTATAGAATGCTTATATGCACACGTATATATTTATTTTAAAAAATGAAAGGTTTTTAAAATAATTCGATTTAAATTGTGTTTTTCAGATGATGGAATGTAGCGAATGTTCTTACTGGGTACATGCCCGTTGCGAAGGACTTTCCGACGAACGTTATCAAATTCTTAGTTATCTACCTGATTCTATTGAATTCACTTGCAGTCAATGTTCCTCAAGCCCTAATTCTATTTGGAGGAATGCCATAGAAGCTGAACTGAAAGCTGGTTTTATAGGTGTTATAAAATCATTAAGTAAAAATAGGAAGGCTTGTGCTGCATTAAAATGGAGTCCACAGAAAGAGTGTTCGTGCAGGTCTGCTTCCACTATAAAGAAGTCAGATTTTTCAGACGATAAAGTTGAGTCAAACGCAATAAATGCTAAAGAAGTTCTCAACGCAGATGATTCCGAAGAATCTGTCAACGAAAAATCAAAAACTACAGAATCTACTCTTAATAATAATGTAAAATCCGATACAAGCAAATCAGACGAAGATCAACCAAGTGATTGTACTAATAGAAGAGGTTTAAGACGACTTCGGCAAAAGTTTCATTTGAAAGAATGTTCGGTTCGGGTGAAAAATTGTGCTCTGAAAGATTCTCAAGATAATGACAAGAAAGACTCGGTGATCCAAGAAAGTTCAAATAGTAGTTCAAATGATTCAGAATGTCACTGTTCAGATCAACAAATTATCGTTAGGCCCTCGCTCACGTTAATGTCGGTGAAACAGAAAGTTAATAATAACGAATATAAAACACTGTCACAGTTCCATTGTGATATGGAACACGTGATTAATCGTATTGCATCTAAAGAACTTATTGATGCTTACCATGAAATTTTACGAGAAGTATTTCCATGGTTTAGTCCGAAAAATGCTAAAAGTAATGTGGAAAAAAGTGATACATTAGTAACGACAAAGGATGTTAAAGATGACAGTTTAGTTGGAAAGCTTGACGATTCCATTCTGGAAGTATGGAAGGAAGAAGTGATGAAAGCACCGAAAGCAATTGCCGCTAAAACAGCAAATTTATATAATGTTCATGTTGAAGACAGTAGATCGTGTTGTTTGTGCAAAGGTTTAGGAGATGGTGCAGAAACGAAAGAAGGACGTCTCCTGTATTGTGGACAAAATGAGTGGGTTCATTCTAACTGTGCACTTTGGTCCAATGAAGTATTCGAAGAAATCGATGGTTCTTTACAAAATGTCCATAGTGCTATTTCCAGGGGTCGGTTGATTCGTTGTTCGGAATGTGGGAAGAAAGGAGCAAGCGTTGGTTGTTGTGCAAAAAATTGTAGTAGCACGTTTCATTATCCTTGTGCAAGGAACGTTGGACTTGCCTTTAATGACGATAAAACAGTATTTTGTTCTTTGCATTTAAATAATTGTACTCATAAAACTTTACAGAACGAGAACGAATTCAGTTTACGAAGACCAGTATACGTAGAGTTGGATCGCAAGAAGAAAAAGTATGCAGAACCGAGTAAAGTGAAAGTTATGATAGGTTCATTGATGATTGATTGTTTAGGTACTGTTATACCTGAATACTCTGACACGGTTGAAAAAATCATACCTTGCGATTATAAATGCTCTCGACTATACTGGTCCACAGTAAACCCTTTTAAAATTGTAAGGTATTACATTAGAACATACATACAAGTATATGTACCAGAAGTCTCTCCCGATCTAGAACATAATGTAACCATTGATCATTCGAAGGAGCAGGAAAAGGAAACTACATTGGATACACAGAAAAATGAATATTTGGCTGCGAAACAAACGTTGGATGCTTTGGTTGATGCAGTGTGCAACAAAGAAGTTGATGAAAATTTGGTGGAACAAAATAATACTGATATTTTACCTCCAGAATTAGAGGAAGCTATATTTGAAGATTTGCCGCATGATTTATTAGACGGTATATCTATGCAAGATATATTTCCAAAAATGACGTACGAAGATTTTTTGGCGATGGACTTAAAAAATGATGGTACCTTTGCAACTGATCTATTCAAAGATGACATGTTAACGCCTGAAGTTGACGAAATTATAAAACCAACTGAAAACAAGATATCAAAGGTAGATCCTTCTTTGTTGGAGTTAGGACCGCACAACGATCTTTGGGTTCACTTGGAGACAAAAACGTTTGTTCAAGATCTGATGGACGACTTGTTCAGTTCTAAAAAACGTGGAGGTAGGGAGCTGAAGAGATCCAAATCAGAAGTGATGTCAAACAGTCCACTGATTGTTGGAGGACAAAGGCATCATCAACGGTCTTGTAGTTTAACTTGGAGTTGTAAACTGGATAGTACTTATGGTCCCAGCATAAAAAGAAGAAAATTATCAAGGAATTCAAGTATGACCAAATCTAGTGAAACAAACGTTACGGTATTAGATTCACAGAATGAACGTCCACCTACTTTGCATGAGCTAAGAATTCCAGAGAGTGTAATGGCCACTGTAGGTAGAGCAAACACACCCAACATTTTATCTGATTCCGTGCGGGAATTAAAGTATTGTATCGAGGATGCGAGTGGTATTAATCGCCGAGTAATATCTACTAGTCGTGAAGAAGGAAAGGAACATAAGCGGCTCTTCTGGCACACGAGGCAACAACCAAGAATATTACAAGTTGATGGTACTGTTGACCCAAGTAGTGCCAGCGAATGTAGTTCACCGGAATACAACACTGAAGAGAAAACCACAGAATTACCTATGACAGAAGATTTATCGATCCCTCAATTAGATGGTATTAACGACGAATCCTCCTGTGACAGTAATGAGTTTACTGTACCCGCTGAAAAAGATTTTAATTCGTGCATGAAACCTTCAAATGGTTTACGGTCGAAACGAATATACGGATTCATTAAATCCCACATTTCAAAAAATAATGATAAATCACAGAAAATCAAAGAAATTGACAGTTATTCCACTTGTCAGAAGTATGGACATCAAGCCAAGGAAAATAATTTGAAGTTAAATTTAAAAATTCCTCAATTAGATGGTGCTGATGACATTTCTAGCGACGACGAGTGCATATCACCGAAACATATTGAAAATGAAAGGATCAATGTTACTGCTCAGTATGATGCACCGTTTGATCATATAGATCGTCCTGTAACTTGTAAACGATGCCGTTGTACCTACAGAACACAAGATAGTTATAATAGACATCTGGCAAACTGTGATATCATGATAACAAGTGACAGCGATTCAGAAACTATGGATAACAAATTGGCATCACCCGATTCCAGATTCTCTCCAAGTATCGGATCCGTGTCGCCACAGTTTATTACATTGTCTCCATCTGAAGGGCATACTCTTTCTTCTGACTATCCAGATATGCAAGCCACGTCTCCTTTAGAAGCTTCTGTGCCATCACCTCATCCAGCTATTCAAATTGAACCGATAGCACAGGCAATTATTACACCACAGATTCATACTCATGCAACTGTGGAAACTGTTCATCAAACAGTATTAACATCTAACGACATGATTGTGCAAACACAGTATACTAGAACAACAACCACATTACCAAATGCAACAGTATTACCGCAAGAAAGTACTGTCCAAATAACAGAAATCACAGATCCGCCATCTGTTGCAAGTGATTCTAGCTTGTCACAGAATTCTCCAGATAGTGCAAGTACACAGACAATTCCGAGTCCACAAGTATCTCCAACATTTTCATCTACCGGCGTACAAACTGCGAGCAATGACTCGCAGACGAATTGTCAGATGACAAAATTGGTCAAATCAAAATCTCCAAGAGCACCGAAATCTCGAGCTAAGGGAATTAAAACGCAGATTGTAAAGAATAGCATGCAACCCCATAATGGACACAACAGATTTCAACCTATGCAAAACAATACTCCGGTTATACAATTGCAGCAAACTCAAAGACCGAGCGGGCCAACTGTAATATTGCAACAGGTTGCGTCTCCTGGAATTATGTCTGCGTACGTTGAAACGCTGCAACAACAGTCAGGACAGAATCTTCAGTATGTAACAACAATTGGTGGTCAACATGAGGCAGCGTTTAAACCTCAGTTCATAACAACTAATCATTTAGTTCCTGGTGCATATATACAAGCATCCTCTGATAATTTATTGGCATTACAAAATGGAGGTATATCAATATTACCAGGTGTACAAATTGCACAAACGCAACCAACGGTTCTAGGAACTATTATTCAACAGCAGCCCAATGCAATTCAATGTGGAGTTATATCATCTGAACAACTATTGTTAAGTTCAACGCCTACATTAGAAATGTTTACAGATTCAACTGGCAGTATGTTTCTTTCCAACCAACCAATGTATTACGGTTTGGAGACTATTGTGAGCAACACTGTAATGTCTTCCAGTCAGTTCATGGCTGGCACAGTACCACAGGTGTTAGCGAGCAGTTACCAAACGACAACGCAAGTTTTTCAAGCATCTAAACTCATGGAGCCTATCGTGGACGTTCAGGCTGTTCCAGGTGTTCCCACTGTGACAGCTGTGCAATCTGTGCAGAATGTACCTGGAGTACCTGGAGTGCCTAATGTACCTAACGTTGCTAATGTACCCAGTGTATCCAACATACCCAACATAGCTAGCATACCCAGCGTATCTAGTATAACCAATGTACCTAACATCCCTAATGTACCCACCATTCCAACTATACCTACCGTACCCTCTGTATCCAATGTACCTAATGTATCCAATATTCCAAGCATAACAAATATATCCAATGTATCCAGTGTACCTACCGTTCCCACAGTGCCCACATTACCTAATGTACCCAGTGTACCTAGCATACCTAGTGCATCTGGTATACCAAATATACCAAGTGCAGCTAACGTATCAAATGTACCTAATGCATCTGGCGTACCTAACGTGCTCGGTGCACCAAGTATACCTAGTGTACCAAATATATCCAATGTATCTGGTATACCTGGTGTACCCAATGTACCTACAACACCTAGTGTACCTGGTATACCTAATGTACCTAGCGCATCCAATGTGTCCACTATACCCAGTGCACCTACTTTACCCAGTACTTCTAATGTAACTAACGTACCAGCTGTACCTAATGTTCAAAATGTATCCAGTATGCCCAATTTGCCATCTAGTGTGGGAAATATGCCTGCAGTACCCGGTGGTTATGTTGTAGTAAATCAAACAGCACCTCTAACAGAATCTATCGTAACGCCACAGATTAATATGTCTGCAACATCCGAACAAAGCTTCGCTTCAGCCACGTGTAACACCATATTGCCTGTATCGTGTCAAAGTGTCGTAGAACCAGTGACGTCTATACAACTATCAGACACGTGCCCATCTGAGCCTCAAGCTGTGACCAGAGTAACATCGTCGCCCAAGTTATTGCAAAACTCAATACCGACTATACCAAGAGTCGCTGTACGTCCTAGTCCAGTGTCTAACTCTGTTACTCAACTGAACAATGGACCATGGAAAATCACAGAACCGTTATTTGGTTCAGAACAGATGATGAATAATAGTGTCCGACCATACTTTGACTCTAAACATGTATCAGAGAATACCAGCATGATAAAGTCTAGCATATCATCTAAAATACCCCCATTACCTAATCACTGTATAACGCAAAGGGATATAATTGTAAATAAGTTAAGCCATGATGTAAATAGTGTGCATAATAATTATAGTAATACGGTACCGAATTCAAACAACATTAATGTAAGTACAAGTAATAATCCAGTTATTACCAGCTCGTGTATACAAAATAAGATAACAAGCAACGTACCAACGAGCCGACCGATGAATAGAGTATTACCCATGCAAGCTGTGACCCCTAAGCAAGACACGACTAAGGCAATGCAGAAAACAGAAATGATCATAGAAGAACCGACGAAGCCTGAAATAAAGCCGGCAGAACCGGAGCCAAAACTTACAGAATCAAAGAAGCAAATCGTCGAAGCTGTTGCGCCGACAGTCAAGAAACCACCTGAAACGACTATAAGCGACATAAATGATACCCTGAAATTAAACACAGAGACTATAGAGAAGGTGAAGGAAAATCTGAAATTGGAACTGGATAAAGAGAAACTGCAAAATGCATCCTTGAAAATAGTATTACAGAAGCAGCTACAAGATGGTTCTTATAAAATCACTCACAACATGAAAGCGGTGACACAAAACAAGAAGTCTCCTCAGGTAACCTCTGTAGAGATATTACCAACAAAACAGGTACCTCAGATAGCTTCTTTGCAGCTGTTACCTATTAAAACATTTACCTTGAAGGCAAACAAAATCGATGAGAAAGTGAAACCAATAGATAATAAATTCAACATATTGAAAACAAAGGTTCCACCGGTTGCTGTCAAGAAGCCAAGAATGATCAGCAAGTCGATTAAATCCGTACAATCGAATTTACAAAATACACAGACACAGAAACCCTCTTCGAAAGGACCAATGTTAATGTATGAAATAAAATCACAGGACGGATTTACCCATACTGCTTCATCAATGGCTGAAGTATGGGAGACTGTGTTTCAAGCTGTTCAAAGTGCTCGAAAGGCTCATAACTTACCTCCGTTGCCTCATAACCCTCTTACTGAAAATCTAGGCTTGGAAAACAACGCTACAGTGTACTTGGTGGAACAGCTACCAGATGTGAATAAGTGTACCAAGTATAAACCTAGGTTCCACAATTTAACACCACCTAAGCCAGGAGAAGCGGAGAATGACCTACCAACAGCATGTGATAATGGTGCTGCTCGTGCAGAACCATTCAAAGGAAGGAAGGTTCATGACATGTTTAGTTGGCTGGCATCTAGGCACAGGCAGCAGCCAAAACTGATTGCTATCTCAGAAGCTGAATCCAGGTATTAATTATGATAATTTAAAGATTTATTGTGATAGGAATATAGTCATTACTTGAACATATTCATAGTACTATTTTGATAAATCAGTGTAGTCAAAAGTAATTACATAATTATGGTATGTTGTAGACGAGTGGCAAGCACAAATTTGCCAATGGCCATGCGGTTCAGAATACTTAAAGAAACATCAAAGGAATCAGTTGGAGTATATCATTCTCACATACACGGCAGAGGTTTGTTTTGTTTAAGGGACATTGAAGCTGGAGAAATGGTTATTGAATACGCTGGTGAGGTACGTATTTCTATACATTGTATGCTTGTTTATGAAATTTATAAGTTACTGATATTCGCAGGTAATTCGAGCCTCCTTAACTGACAAACGGGAGAAATATTACGATAGTAAAAACATAGGATGTTACATGTTCAAAATCGACGATCATCTAGTCGTTGATGCTACGATGAAAGGAAACGCAGCTAGATTCATTAACCATTCGTGCGAGGTATTCATCTTTTTTATATATTCATCGATCTACAATAAATGTGAAAGGAATGAATTAATAACGTTAAAATAATGTTTCAGCCAAACTGTTATTCGCGAGTGGTAGACATCCTAGGTAAGAAACACATTTTGATTTTTGCTCTGCGTCGCATTAATCAGGGGGAAGAGTTAACGTACGACTACAAGTTTCCCTTCGAAGATATCAAGATTCCATGTACCTGCGGTTCACGCAGATGTCGTAAATACCTCAATTGAGACTGCGTATACAGCTATTCTAAGCAAACGATACGTGCTATAATTACCGAGCGCTTTGGGATAGGATTCATTTTATTGAACGTTATTCATTTAATCATCAAACTATTTTCAGAGATTGCAGCTTTTTATTACTATAAAGGAAATAGATATATTAGAAGGCCAGAATATAGTACACGAGAAAACATTCGCGTTATGACAATGTTACTTCAAACAGCTACGATTCGTAGTTGATTTTAAGGAGTCTACTTATAGCAATAAACAATTGAACGTGTCCTGCTTTCTCTATCCGAATGAATCTCTTATCACTTGGAGATTCAAGAAAGTGTTACTTTTATCCACACACATATACATATACACACACACAATACACAGTACATATGTGCTTTAATGCACTTCTTTTAGACTCTACTTTATTATCTACTATTGAGGCTTAAGTGTACAAGTTATCGTCACTTTACACTAAATCCAAAACGCTTTCTAGCATGTACGTTTCTTCTCTGTATACTCTTAAGTTAGGGTTTGAACGAATTCGACGTGTAATTGGACCAAATTGATACATGAAATTCGACAAAAGTGTATAGCACAAAATCGACGTACTTAGAGGGACAACCATAGCGTTTCCCACGACCGTGACTTAACACGATTAACCCTTTCAGGCACGAAAGGCCATTATAATGGTCGTTCAATAAATCTAAATATCTGTATCATTCGAACGACCACTGTAATAGGTGCCTGCACGAGTAAAGTCAGGTTACTGATAAAGTTCTGACGATTGTTAAGATTAAAAAAGGAACAATGCTATCGACATTTCTTCTTGTACAAAAACGAACTTTATCCGTGACAAAGGTGCACCGGAAAGGGTGAAATGAAACGGTCGTTCAACGAATGAAACTTGTGAATCAGAGGCACAGGGATATAGTTAAATATATTTTTAAATATTTTATGTAAATCTACATTTAGTGTACAGTGTACGATTAACTTCGTGACATTTCATGTCTGATGTAGGGCCAGATCTTCAAATGTTCTTTGTAAATTATGTAATTGTTAGAGTTAGAGACATTGTCCTTGATGTAAGTACCAGCTACCAGTACTAACTTAAGATGGTAATTTAGACACTAAGGAAGAAAGAAAGAAAAAAAATTGATAATGAGTGTGAGGGGAAGAAGGAACAGTTTCCTTTCAAGCATTCAGGATACTGTTCGAAGGCGTACCTACTTTGGCAGACATTGATGATATTTTAAGTCTTACGGTAGTGACCAAAAACACATTAAAACGAAAAAATCCAAAAAAAAAATCATAAGAAAAGAAACGGGAAACAAAAGGTTGCTTCCCAAACAAAAAATGTAAAGTATATTCATTCGAAGATGAACGACTTTACGTACTGCGCAATATATTATTTTGATACGTGTTTTTTTTTATAGATCTTTTTGAACAGTGCACCCACGCGTTTGTGCTTCCGCCTTGCCAATATTACAATAATTAATCTCATTACTTTATTTTTATAGAGAAACTTCTCTTCTTCTTCTATCTTTTTTTATTTTACAAAAGCTCCACCGCTGATCATGAAATCTTTTGTAAGCTTACGTTCATACAAAATGTATAAATGAAAAGATAAAGCTAATAATAATAATGATAATAGTAATATTAACGATTAGACGATTGTTTCGAGTGAACTTTTCTAGAATATTTCTAGAAAACGTTTGTGATATTTTCCCACACTGGGAGAAGTTAATTGTGAATGAGAAAAGAACGTTCTTTATAAGGAATGTATTTTCAGACTTTTTACGGATATACATGAATGTGTTATGTGTGTCCGTGAAAAAAAAAAGAAACAAAAAGCACCTTTCTGTGAAATGCAGTTTTGCCTTACCTTTAATGTACCTACGCTTGAAACCCGGTGATAGATATTTAGATGTACCCTCATGAACGATGACTTGTATTCAAAAACGACAAAAAGAAAAAAATAACAAGCTAATTGTGTCTATCGCATCCATATTAAGCTATGATATAAAAAAAAAGGTATTTTTAGTGCGGTCAATCAATTTCTGCCGAGGTGGTTGTCCCTTGAAAATTTTTTGGTGCTCCATGAACACCGTTAAGTGCACTTTAAAGCGAGAAATAAGATGACGACGATGATGGTGATGATGATGATGAAAAAAGAAAAATAAAAAAAAGAAATGGCCTAGAGTAAGAGAGAGAGAATAAGGATGGAAGTGGAGAAAGAGTGTTTTAAATAAATTAAGAGAGGAATAAACGCGAATTTTATTTAAATATTGTATAAACGAGAGTGAAATGATGGCAGGAACATTATTCGAGCACGCGAAGTTTTTTAAGCAACGTTTGTCGGTCGTGCAACAATTTTTTTAATCGGCCTGGTTTGGTACAAAATGCGTATGATGATTTGTAAAAAGTTATAGAAGAAGAAAAAAAAGAAAAAAAGAAAAAAAATGATAGGACGAGGGATATGAAAAAAAAAAAATGGAAACACGTTCTGGTCACGAGAAATTGCCATTTTTCTTTAGGTATTTTTCTTTTTTTTTTTTTTTAAATACACCGAAAAATGAATATTGTTAATATAATGATGATTAATTAATTAATAATCTGTAAAGATGGAGAAGGAAAAGGAAACAAAATGAGGTAATTAACGACGTAAGAATGGTAATTTTTACTTGAAGAATATAATAGCAATGTTAGATATTTTATTGATATTTATTATTACTTATATTACACGGATGACGGTTCTAGGGTTATAACGAAACAATTAAAAACTAATTGAATTTATAATAAACATGATTTTTAGAGAGCATAGTGCCGCACGATGGTCTAAATATTGTTGAAATAATATAAACGCCAGCTTCTTTTTTAATCGATTGATTTTTCTCTTTTTTCTTTTTTTAATCTCATATAATTGTTATGACACGACATCACCGCGAATGAATTTTTTCTGGGGATATACATATATGTGTATTACACACACACACACATATATATATATATATATATATATGAAATATAAATATAGATGGTGAGATTCGTTATACATTATATTCCCATGGCAAGATTAATGAATTAATTACACGGTGATTGTAATAATAGTCTATAATGAGTATATTTACACGTGTCGATAGACGAATTAAGAACATTGTTTTCTATTTTATTTATAAATCCATTGAAATACTTTTACGCTCCGCGGAAGATTTAAAAAGAAAAGAAAGAAAAAGACAACATAGCTTTTAACAAATCATACTTTGACAAACTCGAATGGAACAAAGCGTATACCTCTGTTGTATTTTTTCTTTTCTTTTTTCTCAATAGATTCTTGGAGCGTGTACAAGGCTTGTTTAGTATTACGCATCATTATTATTATTACGATTAATTATAATCTATACACGAGATGATAGAAAAGCATAATACATCACCACTCAATCATATTGTGCACCACCAGTTTGTTTACTACACCAGTCAGCACCCACTTATTTTTTTTTCTTCAAAAAGTGATTCGAACACACAAAATTTGATACAAGTATATACATGTGTAATCTTGAAAATTTCGATATGCATTGGCGTCCATAAGTATTAGGACACAAATTTTTATTTTTTATTCAAATACGAATAAATTATTAGAAATGATGTGGAATGTAATTAAGAGGATAAAGGGTTCGAGATTGAGTTATGCTGACTTTCTCGGTATTTTGCGACCCTTAGCTTGTTCTGGGATCTTTCGGGTATTTCGTTGGCTCTCCCTGGCTCTCCCTAGCTTTCCCTGGCTCTCCCTAGCTCTTCCTGGCTCTCCTCAGCTTTCCTTGGCTCTTCCTAGCTTTCCTTGGTTCTCCGGTCCTTTCATAGTCTCTAGTTCTTCCTAAGACCACCTCGAATTATCTCTGACTCCCTAGGTCCCTTAGGTCCAAATCTTTCCCTACATCTTCCCCCGAGGTCCCAGCTTCTCCTTTAATCAAAAGTCTACTGCATTCGAATGTACTTCCAAATTCTAATGGTAACTATGTAACAAAAAATTGGAGATGTACTTAATTCATTAAAATCGTATCCTAATACTTATCCTAATACTTATGGACGACAATGTAATTGTACGTATACTTCGGGTAATTGAAAGTGTTGGACATAGGTTTTTTGGTATGATGACGAGTGGTTAAGTTCAATCATGGAACTTATTTTGTTACGACAATTTCAAAATTATCGCAGCGTTGCATACTCTTGTAATTATAGGGTTTCATCTCCAGGGGCGGATCCAAAAGTTGTACTCTTCAGGAGAGATATACATGAATCCTTTGCACGATGTTTGTCTAAATTCGGTGATAATGTTCAGAGGAATTATTTATGCATTATATAAAATTGAGAAGAGAAAAGTAATTTTATTTTGTAATACGAATTAATTTGTTGCGGAGACTCCATTGTATCCTCTCTGGATCCGTCACTGTTCATCTCTTCGGCTCCTTGTAAAAAAGAAAGAGAAATTGAAGAATTAACTGATTGAAATGTAAAACGCTTTTAAAAAACACGTATTAACATAAAATACTACTATTAGAATTTTGAATATTGTACTTGTTTGTGGAAGAAGGAAGAAGTAAAAAAGAGATAAGTAATACTATTGATAAATTAAAAAAAGAAAAGGAAGAAAGGGAATGGAAAGGAAAATTGAAAAAAATTGTCTGTGATTATCAGTCATAATAATCTTTAGGTCGACATATTTTTTAGAGAATATTTTTTAGCAAATTACAAAATTTATGATATACCCCTATTATTGATATGATATTGGATCAGAAACACGCTATGCATAATAATTATTATAAAAGAAAAAGAAAAAAAAAGAATTGAAACTGTAAAAGTTGCAAACTGTTTAAATATAGAATTATGAATAGTTGAGATCGATGGCTGTTGTAAAATATTCAGTGTTTGGACAAATAATTATTAAAACTATTTATAATATAATATATATAAATATATATATACTAATTATATTGCATATTAATTAGTAGCGTTTCTAATCTCTTTTTTGCGTTCAAATATTCATCAGAAATAGATTATTAGAAAAATAAAGATTGGTCGATGACCCACAAGATGAAAATTTAAATAAATAAATAACTGAATAAACGAAGAGATGCTGCGGACAAAATGGGACGTGTAAAAAATTGTCGTTATAAAAAATCCATCTGTAGACAACTTATTGAAGTAATCAAGTAACGTTTACATTAACCAGATGATATGCATACCACATAGAAAAATGAAAAACACATAACCGCTTTCATTACACACACGTACATACATACACATACAAAAAAAAGAAGAGAGAGAGAGAGTGAGAGTGAGAATGAAAGAAAGAGAGAATACACCCACACTCCCTGTACACCCATGTTTTGTAATTAAATGTTTTGTTAGTATTATATGAGAAATTAACAAAATAAAAACACAAATGGAAGTATATCACATCTCTACCTCCCTCTATTTTGTTATTTGTATATGTTTGTATAGGGCAAATGGGGAAGTTAAAACCTAGATTTTAGGTTAGTTTTTGGTTCCTCCTAGTCCCTTCCTAGTCCCTAGGCTTCAGAATTACACTCTCGCTAGGTGGTTCACTTTCATTTCAATTCTAACTCTTAGGTTCTAAGTTTTGGTAGGTACTAATCTCTTCCTGTGTTTCTTCCTTAGGTTTCAATTTTCCCTAGGTTCCAATCTTCCTTAGGTTCCAATTTTCCCTATGTTCCAATTTTCCTTAGGTTCCAATTTTCCCTATGTTCCAATCTTCCTTAGGTTCCAATTTTCCCTAGATTCCAATCTTCCCTAAATTCTTTTGGAACCTAGAGAAGATCCAAATTCTCTAAACTACCTATAGACCCCTAGTCTTCCTCGGTAAACAAATGGTGAACAGTAGTAAACAAAATGGTAGATTCTCCCCATCTTGTGAGTCTTCAACATAGTGGTAATAGTACGTCTGCAAATTACAATATAAATTATATCTCTACAAGTTTCACAATTGTATATGAATACATAATTCGTGATACATCAGTACAATGCTAATTAGTGGTATAAAAAAAAATTGTTGCGTTCAAACCGAATTCTATTCTTTTTAATTATCGCGTGATCAATGCACGTATAAATTCTTTCGAAGAAAATTTCTGTTCTACACGCACAACAACATCCGAGCAACGAGCAATGAGTCAGCGACGCGCGGTCAACCGAATATGCACGTAATAAAAAGAATTCTCACACGTGGAAAAAAAAGGCATGACCTATAACGCGCGTTGCTGTTACAATGAACAAGTGGTATCGTAGATTACAATATGGTACTTGCTGCGGTCTACCCGTTTTGTGAGAACGGACAAAGAAAGATAAGATTGCCGACTTTACCGCTCAAACTAATTGCGCGCTGACAATATTTAAAATTAACGTGATACGACGACGGAGAGGCTTTATTTTTTATTGCCCTCGGCCCCCTTGGTGGACGGACATTTTATGAAATCAGCGGCTGTTGTAATAAGTTTCATTTTGTAACTGAGGAAATTAGATTTTGACCTTTCAAATTGCAGTCAGCTGGATAGAACATCCTTGCTCGAAGGAAGACGTAGAAACCTCATATTTTAATTTAATATCATGGTGGTCCACATTTATGTCACTTACAGTAAATCAACAGTTTACAAAATATTTTCTTGTACGCTCATGAATTATAGAAATTTTTCTTTAACTGTTACAATATTTTTAGTTGCACAACAAATACAATTTTGCACCGTATAATACAGTAGTCTCATGACCCAACAAGAAAAATTTCTTCGATAAGAGCAGTTTCCCCATCAGTTATTAAAATAAATAATTAATATTGATTTGCATACAATAATGTGTACAACCAATTGTGAATTCATTTTCAAAAAGTTAATTTTTAAACTTGTCTCGACAATGTTCTGCAGTAATTAATTTTCCATTCATTTTTCATTATTAAAAACTGTCTGACTCGTTGGCAACTTGATGAATATTTTTTATTATTGAGATTCGCTTACAGTAGTATAGAAAGCTTCTAGATTTTAGTAAAAGAGCCTAGGAAAAACTAAAAATACCAATAAAGATTCTAGGGACATTTTGAGAAGAATGGGATAGCCTAGGGAGAACTAAGAGCACCCTTAGATTTAGGGAGAGTGGCAAAATCTAGAAAGTCCCCTCCTTAGGAAGAATCGAGAACACTTACAAAGATCTCAAGAACATCTTAAGAAAAATGTGAAAACTCAAAAAAATCCGAAAAAGCCTATGATGGTTTTAGCGAAATTTTTGGGAGAGCTTAGAAAAATTTTGGATAATCCTAGAAAGTTTAGAGAAAATTGGAAGTGCCTAGAAAGACCTAAAAAAATTCTAGGAAGGATGGAAGAGTCTACAGAGAATCGGGAGCGCCTACTATGAAGATCCTAGGGAGAATGGTAAAGACCGGGAGATTCCAAGGAGAGATGGAAGAATCCAAGGAAAGTCTAACCTACGTAACGCAATGATGTAAATATACCGTATCATTTAACGAATGAAATTTTATTAATATACTGTTTCGTTTCATATATGAAGAATTAATGATAGAAAGGATTATCAGGATGCATGCCAGAGCGGCAACATTATCAGTGCCCGAACGTTTCCGTAGAACGATGAATAATCAGCTCGTTCTCACGTAGCGATACTCGAGAAGCATGGTTATCCTACTCCCCCCTTTTTACTCGCAGCTTCAAGAAAGCCCTCGCGTTACGCGCGGACATTCGCCGCTCTTTTCTTTCTCTGTCTTTGTTCTCCGTAGTAACATCAAAGTGCTGGTTGCCTACCTCGTCACGGCAACGAGAGGGTTTGGCGGCTCCGCTCGCCTCCTCCACCACCATCTTTACCCTCCACCTCCTCGAACGGACGCTTTCATGCATCCCTGTTCGTTCTCACACGAGCGGTAGACGACAAGGTGTTAGTCACCTCAAGGACGTTCGCTGTAATTGGGATAGGTCGGATAGATACGCGAAAGCGAGAAAGTAAAACGCGAGTTGAAAAAGGAGCGTAGAGACGGTTGGGCGGTACGGTGGTGGGAGGGATAGGTGGCGAGAAGGAGACAGGCGTATACAGCGCCGATGCGTGCGTTTCTGTAAATGGCGCCTGGTAGAGCGTCGCGCGTCACGATTCTCTCTTTCTCTTTCTCGTGGTAGCCGTGACCAGGGTCCCCGCGCGTGGTGGTGCATCATCAGTCCTAGACCGGAGGTTGTGTCGCGAGATACGGTTGGCAGAAGCGAACGTGAAACGCACGGTTCCACCCGGTGACCGGTTGTTGAAACACCTCGTGCTCGATCCGTGGCGTGTTGTGTCGCGTTTTAGCCCTGTAAGTGATCGTCAAATGTTAGTGGTACTCGATTTCGCGTGCATGCAACATGGAAGAAGGTGCGTTGGTGCTACGATAGTGGTTTCCAAGCGAGGAGAGTTCCGCGACAGCAACGCCGTCTGTACACGGAACGAGGAATACGTCGGTTGTTATCGCCTTCTCCTCCTCCTTCTTCTTCTTCTTCTTAACCTCCTCCTCCTTCTTCTTCTCTTCTTCCTCCCCTTCCGTGCCTTTACTATCAACACGCAGCCGCCTCTTCGTCTTTGTTCGGACTCGCGCGAGCTCGTTGCCACGGACACGACGGAGGCCTCAGGTAAAGACCGATTCAGGGCCAGCGCACTGTCACAAGATGCGAGAACGATGGAGAAAGACGGAGAATATGCGAGTCACGATCCCTACGCGAGGGGAGGGAGAGCCGTTTCGTCATTCTCGGTGAGAAGAGCAGACAAAAAGAGTAGTGAGGTTAGGAACCGACCCGAGTCTTCGATGTTCCACCGTCGGACAGACGCGTGTAGGTGAAAATGCAATTAAGTTTCGTTCCACTCGGCTGACGTGAAACCGTGCGCCACCGCGAGCCTGTAAATGTATGCTAATCAAATGCGAAATATTAGTAGTATACGCACGATGTGACCTGAAAATAGACACCAAAGACGGAGGTAGATGACCGTGGAGTCTTTCGGATATGCCTGTACCTATAACCATTCTTTTAATAACATCAATTCGGTTTGTCGCTAACTTGTTACACCATTCATTTCTCTAATGTGTTATCGACATCGTATTTAAATTGTGTGATCTCTGTCTTTGGAGTTGTGAGCCCATAGATTGTCTATGGTTGGCGGTTTAGTAGCAAACTGGGTTTAGTAACTACAATTCGAAGCTCCCGGGCTCAAATCCTAATAAGGTCAAATTTTTAAAGGAATCGTTACATATGGTGTTAATTTGCTCTATTACTGTCTTGAAAAAAAGGGGTAATAGAATTCAGAGTGAGGAGAATGGACTCAGAAATAGAGTATTTCAGTTAATAAAAAACGAGGGGTTTGTCCTATGAAACGCCATCGTCCGGGAAAACATAACAAACAAACATATCTATGGTGCAAACGGGTGGACATCGTGCGAACCCGTGGAAACCTGTTCCTTCGTCCGCGAGTTATTTCGATCACAGCGATCCACGGTTTAATTTCTGCTACGAAGTGCGGGGCACGCGCATGCGTCGCGACACGGCTGCTCTGCTATTCTCACCGAATAATTTACGGCACGTGAGCTCCACGGGATCGAACGCGTTCGTGACACGGCCAATATTGTATATGAATCAAAGATACAACGTTATGCTTATCTCGACGCGATGCTTAGGCGTGACCCAACGAGATATGTAAGTGCACCGTGAATAGCGTGCGAGCTAAACGACCGACTGTGAAAGTTACGATCGATCGGTCGACGAATTCATTCGATACGTTTGCCCGTCATTCTTGCACACATTACTATAGTATCGATTATGTGTAACGTGCTGCATCGTGTGCGGAACGTAACTCTTTCAAACGTTACCGTAAACGTTCGTTTCACGTGACTGACAGGGATACCGGGTATCTTTACTCATTTCTATGAAACTTTATGGTGTTTATAGAGGGATCTGGGACAAACGTTTTAAGGGGGTAAAGAACTTAGGAGTTATATAGAAATCTCTGTTATGTATGAGTCATAAGATACAGCGTTGAGCATTCTTTTTTACAGAGAAAGAAGATCCTATCTATTCCCTAGTGACTATTACAGTTGTCATGCATTGTGTCTAGTTTGCACGAGTGATGCAGTTTCATTATTTGGAAGTTTTTGAAATTTGACTAAATTAAAAATAAATGGATTTAAATGATAAAGTTCTGTACCAGGCTGGGCTAGATTAGTTTTATCATTCAAGTCTATTAGATAAGACTGAGATAAAGTTACATTAGGTTAAAGATATGTTAAGGTTAGGTTAAGATAGGTTAGGTTTATGTTTAATTTGTGTTAGGTTAGATTACAATTAAGTTAGCATTTATTGCATTAAAGTTAGATTAAATTAGGTATTAAGATATATTAATTTAGGAGTAGATTAATATTGTGCTAGACTAGGGTTGTGTTAGCGCAATGCTATATTAACTTAGGGTTAAGTCAATTAAACGTTAGGTAAGGTCTGGTTTATATTAGGTTATTGCTGGTCCAACTTAGGTTAGGTTGCGTCATTGAAATCTATTTACTCTTGTATAAACACTAAATATAATCTATCTCAGTTTCAAAGAAGAATAATAAAATTACATTGCACATTTTACAACAATCACTTATTCTCCTTAACGATATCTTAATTGTAGTATCCATACTTATTGGTAACAGAAGTTCCACCCATAAATCCTGAACTTTTCCTAGATTTTCCTAGAATTACAAGTGGTGCAAAATTCCTCCATTTCCTTTAACCAAAAAAATAAGTTAATATCAATTAATATCCTATGTAATAATTCCTCGTTACATTTTCTAAGCGAAAGATTCCTCGAAGGCGTACTAATTATAAAGGTTAGGTTTTCATTGTCTGTAGCATATTATTGCCCGTCCTTTTACGGTCATGCGTTATACATTTGCGCTTATGTGAAATATGATTTCGTAAAAACTCGGCACGAGATTGTTGTTGGTTCTCAAGTAAACAAAAGCAACTTTCGCCTGCGCAGGTCGCTCGTGCGGTGCTAACGTTGAACTAACCGATGCAACTCGTAAAAACCAATGACGTTACGCGCTCGTTGAAGAGAATATCTTTGGTATTTCTGTAAAGCCAGTTTCTTCGATAAGATGTTCCGCTGGTAGCATCGCATTATGCGTACAATCTCGCATAATCTAGAATAGCACGTTAGGTCGTTTCCTCCATTGCTGTGCTTCTTCCTTGTTTAACCGCTAACATTTTTCTTTGCCCAGTTTCTCGTGCAAGAATAAACTGATCCTGTAATGCTATCGAAATACAATATTCTTTTTTTTTAAATATATCAAATATTTACAACAATAAGAATTCCGGCGAGTATTGAATTTTTCTATTAATAGTTTACTACACGAAACGAAGGTTATTAATACTATCGTTCACATAGTACCTAACGTATAAAAGGAAACGCGTAAGGAGATAGGTGATCGTGTGCATGCCAAACAGCCGAGGAATTCGACTTGTGTTTCCACGTATTCTATCATCGGTGCCAATCAATGAGACATTGGGCAGATCGCCATGGGTTATGAAATAATTCCGAAATTCGGCTAGCGTTGAGCTTCGGTGTAATTCGTACTCCGTGCAACTTAACCTCTCTTATGTGAACGACTTCCGGTTGTCTTCGAGTACTTGAGAAACCAATCGTGATCGGGATCTGTGATATTCGCTTCCGGGCAGTGATAGCCTGTCGATTCGAAAGTTTCTCATTTTTTAATTTCCAAGTTACTACTTAAATTTATAAATTCATTTCAGAATTTTCAATTTCAATTTTTATTTAAATTTGCAGTTTCTAAATTTCTTAATGTGTTAATTTTTTTATTTGATAATTGTAGTATTCTGGCGGGTAAATTTTCAAATTTAGATTGGAAAGTTTGAGAATTTGACATTTAGAAATTTGGCAATTATTAGAGTTTGGAGAGTTGATAAACTAATAATTTGGAAATTAAGGATTTATAAATTTGGTGATCTAGGGATTTGCAAATGTATAATTAGATTTAATAATTTAGTAATTTGGGGATATGGAAATTTATAACCTAGTAATATGGAAATTTGGTGATCTAGGGATTTAGAAATTTGATAATCTACAGATTTAGTAATTTGGTGCTAGGGATTTAAAAATGTATAATTTGGTGGTTTGATAATTTAATAATCTAGGAATTTGGAAATTTACTAACCTAGAAATTTCCAAATTTGAAAATTATGAATCTGGCAATTTGAAGATTTGCGAATTTAGAAATTTAGCAATTTAAAAATTTAGAAATATGAATACTAACCGTTAGAAACTCGTTTCCACAAAATTGATGACAATCGATGGAACGTTCTAAGCACTATACTGATTCAAAGAAAAGCTACATTGAACCTAAGTGTACTTACATTACAACGTCGTCATTCGTGACGGTTCTTTCGTACATATGTACTGCTATATATGCAAGTGTCTCTCAGGTATATGTAATCGCGAGACTGCAACCTACTACTCTTTTAATAGACGACGGAATAGGTCTATAGACACACGCTAGACGTCGTCCACGGTCAATGCTTGGCACATGGCGACTCCGCGACCGAACGTTGAATGAAATATTTTCGGAAGCGTATCCGGTTGCGTTACGTGCATCCGACAATCAAACGCATTCAATATCGATTCTAACGCTAGTAAATTCAACAAGGAGTCGAACTTCAAATGTAGTTTCCTGTTTTCATTCCCGAGTTTTCATTTTAACCCTTTCTCCAATCACGTGGGAAGAGAAAGA